GAGATCAAGAGGCAGCTATATCCACCCTGCTCTTGAGCCCAGACACATAATTACTAAAATACTGAGTGGTTGTATGTGTAGAATAGATCAGAAAACAACAATCAGAAGGGAATCTTCCTATAGAGATTAGCAACTATTTCAGACAGGCAAGAGGGATATCAGTCAACTGCAGAAGTGGTATTCAGCAGGTTCTGACCAGTTCCTGAAAATCAGTAGTGGAAATTTTGAGTAGTTCGGAGAACTGATAAATACCACCCTTGACTAGCCCCGCCCCCATCTATTCTCTGCCTCCTGAGTCCCAGCTGATCAGGAGGAATTGGGTAACCTTCCCCTGGAATGGGGGGTGGGGAATGTAGATTTTACAGTATCCTTCCCCTGCCATGCCCACCAAGCCACGCTCACAAAACCGGTAGTAAAAAAAATTGAATGTCACCACTGGTCAACTGCCAGAATTGCAAGCTGCTGCGAGCCGTATAGTCTGATGGGATTCTTGCCTGGAGCTGGGCTGCAATTGGAAAAGCAACCACATTGAGACAACTCATTCCAACCAGTGAGAGAATTTTTGCTGAGTAAAGAATCAGCTATGCCACTTTCAGGACTTTCAGCCTTTTCTTTGGGTGAAGTATTTAAGCACAGATTATTATACACCTATTTAGGTGGCAACATCAACTTGTAGGGCTTAGGAAGGGGAAGTTATGGTAACTCAGAGCCATAATCAGCTGTTGGAGAATGTGTGTGCACTGTGTACATTTTCATGTCTTAGTAGTTTTTAATACAAACAAGGGAAAGAGCCCTTTGTACACCGAGTGAGTAATCATACCATTTATATTTAGTTTTAAAACTAATTTAGTCTTTCCCCTTTTTCCCTCAAAAAATGGGGAAAACAAGCCAGAAAACTACAAATCAGCCTAAGATCCATAGTTGGGAATATCCAAAGATCATGGAAAAATAACCAAGCAACAGATCTGCAAACACCTAGGAGCAAGCAAAGATATAGTAAGAAGCCAACATGGGTTTGTCAAAACCCATGTTTTCCTAGACCATGTTCTGTATTAACTGGCAAAGAATGGATTACACCTTACAAGAACTAGAAAGAATATATTTGAAAACAACTGGCTCACCTTATCAAAAGGGCTTTAAACTAAAATTGAGAGGAGAGGGTGTCCAATCTTCATGACCTCTAGAACCTAATCCCAAGGTGATTAGAGAGCCGAGGTGGCGCAGTGGTTAAATGCAGCACTGCAGGCTACTTCAGCTGACTGCAGTTCTGCTGTTCAAATCTCACCGGCTCAGGGTTGACTNCTGAACTTCTGAAGGGAGGATGGTTTCCTCCTCCAGGATCTTCTGCCCAGTTCTCCTCCAGATCTGCGGGCAGCTCCCAGGCTGGATCACAGAAGCACCTTTTCTCTCGGCACCTGCTACAGGATGGGTCTCCATTCCTTTTTCTGTCCCACAAAGAATCTTGTAGATCTCCAAGCACCTTTCCTTCACGGGACCATTTCCGTCGCCCGCACGGCTGACCGCAGCACGTTATTCTGCTGCCTTTGCCCACCTTGGCTGTAGGGGGAAGAGGTTACAAGGGGCTTCCAGTTTGTGTATCTGAAATGGGAGGAGGGGGATTCAACAACTAGAAATTGATGAGCTGAACACACAATCACATAATCTGCCCTGAGCTTAAGTGGATCAGCTGGAGTCTCCTTTAGCCCCTGGCACGAATACTGCACGATGATATGCAAGGCCAATTCTAATCACGGGGCCCCCCAGATCCCCGCCACCTTCCTGGGAATCTCCGGTTCTTCCGGGTGACAACGCGGCTGCTCCGGAGCTCCGCTTCCCTCGCCCCAGCCCCGCCTGTTGTTTCCATGGAGAGGGCGGCTGGGGAACATGGGACCCGGGGTTGAAGCCGGAGGAGGGGCGCGCGCGGGTCTCTCCCTGGTCCGCCTCTCTTGACACGGGAAGAGCCCCGCCCCCGTCCCCGCCCCCGGGGCACGTCTGGCTCTTCCCCCACCCCGCCAGACTCTTCCGCAGCCTCTCCGCCTCCTACGGAGCCACAAGGGTTAAGGAGAGCGAGTGCGGCGCCCCAGAACGGCAAGCGTTTGTGACGTCACTCCTTTCGCAGCCCAATCTGGAAAGGCAGCCGTGACTTTCGCCCTACACTGGACCAATGGGAAGCGCCGGGAGTTCCCTTGTCTTGGCAGAAAACGCCCCCTGGTGGGCTTTGCGTAAATTTACAGGCTTCCCTGCAAAGCGCGGGAAAGAGGAGCGTAGGGACGATGAGCGTGGGAGTAGGGGGAAAGTGGTCCCTCTCAATGGCCCCCTGTCAAAGGTTTTGGCGCCTTCAGATGCAGCAGTTTCTCCCTCTCTATCACCTCCTGTCCCAAATCATCTGGAGATGGAGAAAAATTGCTCTGAGGGATTTGAACTCGCCTCCCTCAATCAGCAGAGATTGGCGGAGCCTCAAAATGGGCAAAAATCCTGTCAGAAACGGACGGGCTGTCAGAAGACGAGGACCAGGAACTTCTTAGAAACCGGGCTTGTGTCTTGCGTTTGTTACAAACTCTGGCCTGAAAGGCCACAATGAGGAAAAAAAATTTTTTAAATTGATTTGTCTTTTATTTCTTTAATTCAATACGTAAAGGTGCCTTTCTCAAGTTTTTCACTCAGCCTCACAGCGAAGGGAGAACCAGAAAGGACTGAGAACCCTCCAGCCTCTTCTGATGAACAAAAGGAAGATTGCCCTCCACTGGCACAATAGGGAAGCACCTGATGTTCCCTTCTCTTGGTGGAGAGCACCCCCTGGTAGATTTGGCGCAAAGTGCCAGGATTCTAGAAAGGACAGGAAAGAGGAGCCGGTCTGAGGGGAAGGGAGAGGGCAGGGATGATGGGCATGGGAGTAGGGGGAAAGACCCCTTTCAATGGCTCCCTGCCTGTCAAAATGTCTCCACCTCCCTCTCTTTCCTGTCCAGGAACCCTCTGCGGAGATGAAGAAAAATAGCTGGAGGATTTCAACTAGCTTCCCTCAGGAACAGCCACTCTGAAGGCGCCACAGACATCTGGAGGCTGCAAAAAGAGGCCACATCCTGCCAGAAATGACCAGTCGGTCAGAAGAAAAGAACTTGGAAACACAGCTTGTGTCTTGCAGTAGTTGCGAACTCCAACCTGAAGTAGAGAAAGATGGACACAGGCAGGAAAGTCACCATAAGGAAAAAGATTGTTTTTTATTTGTTTTTTTATTTCCTTAATTCAATACATACATGTGGCTTTTTCAAATCATTTACTCAGCCTCACAGTGAAGCCCCCCCCCCAGAAAGGACAGACAACCCTCCATCCTCTTCTGATGAACACCATGGGTGACCCATCTCTTATGCTCATGGAAAGACTCTGAACAAAATGAAAGTCAGTTCCAAAATGGAGAAAAAGTTGAGACTATGGATTTTCCAGTTCATGATAAGGCTCCTTAATTGGGAAATGAAGATGGGAAATGGTGTTCTACCTCTGACTGGAGAAAAGGTAGAATTACAAAATTAAGAAGCGTAAACCCCTTGAAGAATTTAAAGCAGGAAAATATTATTAGACCATAAATAAAAAGAGAAAATGAAAATGAAAAAGCAAAACAAGAGCTCAAGACTCCATTGGTAGGAAAAAAATTTGACCAAATTTGGAGTCGACAATGACACACAAAGAGGTTAGTTACAATGAGCAAAACAAAGAATTTAAAAGAATGGAAAAAATGGTTAAAAATACACTAAAAAGAATGGAGGTAACCTTCGATTTTTATGTATTTCTTTTTTTCTGCAGTTTGACACAAAAAGTTTAATAATCCATATTTGGAAAAACAGCTTCAACCCAGCAGGAGCTGAAATATATGTCTCCCTCCCAGTCCATCCAAACACTTTATAGTGTCAGTAATTTTTAATGCAAAGAAAAGAAAGAGAATTGGTGTCCTCTGAGATTGGTTGGTGCACTGACATTCCCTAGTTTGGGTAATGAAATCTCTTCAACAAAACTCTTGGACCAAGGACCTCTCATTTCAACCGTGATCTACACATTTCCTCCTTTATTAGCAGGTTGGATTATTTTTGGCATCTTGACATCCCAGAGAAAGTTTCATTCACATTTCTCTGTTTCATCAGGAAGCACTGAAGTAATTTTTTGAAGTAATTCTTCTTAATTTCATGTTATTTTGGTCTGCATTGATTTCCAAAGATCTTCCTTCTTCATTGATCATTTCCATTGTTAACACACAGGAGTGGTTTTTATTCTGATACCCTGGAGTATGCCTAATTTGGGAGGGAGGGAGGGAGAGAGGAAGGAAAAATCATGGAATAGTTACTGAATAAATTATTGTAAATCAAGGACTACCTGGGTTGGCCAGTAGGCTGGCTAGCTATGGGGATGTAATATGCATCCACATTCCCCTAACACTGCTTTCTCTTAATAAAATTACTTGTTATGGTTCCTAGTAATGCTTCCAACCAATTCAAGACTCTGAGGCCTTGGTTTCCTCAAAAATCCAGTTTATTGGGTACATCATATCAGCACAGTCAAAAATAAAAACAACATTGAATAATTCCCACATTTTTGGTATAAGTAAAGAAGTATCTTGGCTGAATGAGACAAACTACCTCTCCTGGTGTGTAAAGATGGAAATGTACCTGTGAAGTGGGGTGGTGGTGGTTGTGGATGATAGTTATGATCCACCTTCTCCCCTGTGTGGATCATCTTATGGGAAATAAGATTACCTCTTTGAGCAAAGATCTTTCCACACTCGATGCATTTCTATGGCTTCTCTCCTGTGTGTTGTCATTTTGTGTCTTTTTAGTCCACTACTATGAGCAAAACTCTTTCCACATTCCATGCATTTAAATAGCTTCTCCCCTGTGTGGATCCTTTTATGGGAAATAAGATTACCTCTTTGAGCAAAGGTCTTTCCACAGTCTATGCATTTATATGGTTTCTCTCCTGTGTGGATCTTTTTGTGTATTCTGAGTGCNGAATCAACCAGTAATGGTATTCTATTTTCTTCACTACCAGTTCGGTAGTGGGAGCACACGTACACAAGCATAAGGTCCTTGATGACATCTGGGTGGGTGGGTGAGCGAAGCCTCATGCCGCCACTGCCGGTTCACCGGAACTGGTGCCAACTGGCAGCATACCACCTCCGGAATCAACCTATTTTCCAAGGCCAAACAAGAAACAATGGATGGAAACTAATCAAGGAGAGAAGCAACTTAGAGCTAAGGAATTTCCCAACAGTAAGAACACCTAACCAGTGGAGTGGCTTGCCTTCAGAAGTTGCATAACATAAAAAGACAAAACAAGGCCCCAATGCTTGAAGGAAGGGGTTTTTTGCATATGTTTGGAGGGTCTCATCATTCTGGATCCTTTTGAGGGAGGTCGTCTTCATCCTGAAGCTCTTTTCATATATTCTATGGTGATACGTATGTGACAATTGTCACATAATCAAAGGCCTTTGACAAAAAAAAGTTTTGATGCTTCTGCTTCAGTGATACTGCTTGACTTGGGTCTCTTCACATCCCAGAGACTGTTTCCCTTCTGATTGTGGTCTGCTTAATCAGAAGGGATTTAAATAGTTTCCTGAATTGTTTTTCTTAATTTCACATTATTTTATTTTGGCCCTTATTGATTTCCAAAGGTCCTTTTAGTTGATAATTTGCAATATCAGCACAATGGAGTTATTTTCATTCTCATTCTGAACATCCTCACTTTGGGACAGAGGAAGGAAGGAAGGAAAATCTACAAGCAATTTAAAGCAAAAGTCCTCTTACTTATCATTTTTAATTCAATATCACAATCAATTGAACAATCGAATCTCTATGTATACATTGGTGGAACTTATGTTCCCTTTTGATTATAGGACTCCTTCAGACCTCAGAATATCTGCTGTGCTATTTCTATTTTTTTTCAGTGGAAAAAGAATTTAGAGCCATCTGATAAAATGAGTATATTAAGAAACAAGAAAGGGAGAGGAAAACAATTGTAAGACTAGGCAAGTGACTGTGGATAGAGTGAATTTCTACCCATCTGTGCTATAATGGAAAGATGAACAAGTTTGTCTTGAAGAGATACACCTTCTCCTGCCTGGGGAAGCAGCAACTGTTAAATATCTTCCTGTTCACATCCCTCACAGAATCAAGATCAATTAAAAACTGATGAAAATACACTTTAGAAAAAGATGTTCATTATTATGATATAGTAGCATTGGCCATCTTCAAATTAGAGTATCTTCAAAAATAGGCTGTTTCTAAGCAAGTGCCTGTTGTTTTTGTTTTCATTGGTAATTTCATCTCTCTAGAGATGACATATAAGGTCTGACTCCTTTCCTAAGTCAGTATATACAAAAAAGAAAGACATAGTTTTAACTAATGGTTTGTGATTTCCATGTATTGTCCACCAAATTTATCTGTTTATGGCAAAATCAGGCCATTATTCCTGAAGCTCTTTCCAAGTTCCTCAGTTTTATATGGTTTCTCTTCTGTATGAATTCTTTTATGAGATGTAAGAGAACCATTATGAGTGAAGCTCTTTCCACACTCCAAACATTTGTATGGCTTTTCCCCCGTGTGGATTCTTTTATGTGAATTAAGATGACTGCTATTAGTAAAGCCCTTCCCACATTCTACACATTTATACGGCTTTTCCCCTGTGTGGATCCAGTTATGGGAACTAAGTTGACTGCTATGAGTAAAGGTCTTTCCACACTCTCTACATTTATATGGCTTCTCCCCTGTATGGATCCTTTTATGTTTCATAAGGGATGAATTTTCACCAAAACTCTTTCCACATTCCGTGCATTTATATGGTTTCTCCCCTGTGTGGATCCTTTTATGTACAGTAAGAGGACCGTTTTCGCAAAATGTCTTTCCACATTCTTGGCATTTATACGGCCTCTCTCCTGTGTGAATCCTTTTATGGGAAGTGAGATGACTGCTGTTAGTAAAGCCCTTTCCACACTGCTCACATTTATATGGCCTCTCCCCTGTGTGGATCCTTTTATGGCAAGTAAGCTGATTGCTGTGAGTAAAGGTCTTTCCACACTCTTTGCATATATACGGCCTCTCCCCTGTGTGGATTCTTTTATGTTTTATAAGTGATGCATTTTCACAGAAGCCCTTTCCACAGTCCATGCATTTATACGGTTTCTCCCCTGTATGGATCCTCTTATGCGAATTAAGATTGCCCTTCTGAGTAAAGGTTTTTCCACACTCAGTGCATGTATATGGCTTCTTTCCTGTGTGAATCCATTTATGGGAAGTAACTTGACTGCTTCTTCTGAAGCTCTTTCCGCATTCTAAACATTTATAAGGTTTCTCTTCTGTCTGGATCATTTTATGAGATGTAAGGGATGCGTTTTCGGAAGAAGTAGTAAAAGTTGAATTGTAATGTTTCCAACTGTCTCTGCATATATACTCTCCTTTTTGGCTTTCGTGTGGATAGTATTCATTTACATCTAATTTGACTTGGCACAGTTTTGCACTATTTTCAATATATTTTATCTCTATTCCTCCTTGTTGGGCAAGAAAATCTTGCATTGGAGCATCAGTGGAAGATGAGCTGTCTTGTTTCCAATCACTTGACTGGTTTGTCTCATGATTTTCAAGTTCCATTTTAATTGCAGGTTTCTCTATTCCATTTCCAGGACTGATTACTTGGAATGGTTCTCTGGAATCTTTATTCTCCTGCCCATCATCACCTTCAATGGAAAAGAGAAATGAAAGTGATAGTAAGATTAGGGGAAAAGATCAAGGTGTATAAAGCCATATTAATTTCCCTCTCTGTATCATCAGGAGAAGGGCAGATTTGTTTCCCCTTCTCCCACCCAGGACATGACATCTGGGTGTGGATTTTTAAAATAAGAAATAGCTGATGTTATCTATTTAAAGAATGTCCTCCTAAACACTGATAGGCGAGTACCTAATGCTTACCCAAAGAGACCACATTCCTATGATTTTCCAGCATGACTTCCCAATGCAGCTCTTTTTGGTGAGTGTCTAGTTGAGACCACTCCTCTTCAGAGAAATACACAGCTACCTCTTCAAAGGACACCGGACCCTCCTGAACAAGGGGTGAAAAAAAAAGAACAAAACAGACCTCGGAGGATTTGGAAGACCTCTGTTATTATTTAGAAATTGCCAAAGCAAAGATAGCGAAGATTTTATCAACATTCATTTATTTTTCACATTTCTGAATTGGCCATCCACATGTTTCTGTAGTATTCTAAATGTCATTCAGCGAAACTACCCTGTTTCTTTTTGGATTGAATTGTCTGTGTGTATGTCTGTCTAATTACCTACTATATGCATATCCATGCAACCACCAACAAAGACTCTCAGCATGTGGACAGAATCAACTTGCAGATGGACCTTGGAATCCCCAGATCTTGGTGACTCCAGTTGTTCCCATGTTTGCAGAATTAAACGAGAGGGGAACATTCTTTCTAGCATTTCAGCAAACAGCTTTTGCTGTCCTCTGAAGGACCAGTCTGAGTGATTCACTGAACAGGAGAAAACAGGATAATTTTTTTTGGGTTGGACATTTCTCAGCTTTGAAAAGCCACATGCCTTCAAATCCAGGCAAAAATCAGGAGGTGGCCCCACCAACCAGGCAGACAATCGGTTGCTAAAAGAAAATTTAAGCCCATCCCTAGTTTTCCTTATTTTTTAATCTTAATGGGTTTTGGGGGGGGACTGTTTATAAATAAGGTTTTTTTTTTAATGGTGATGTGCCAGTGTATTTAGTTATGCTTGATTTGCCTTGCCCAATTCCAAATGAAAGAATTATGAAAAGAATGGTTCTCTTGAAGGGTTTTGCGAAGAATTAATTCTTGAAAATTAGGCAAAATAATTAGCAGAAGGAGAGTTAAGTATACTGGTCTTAAAATATGATTTCCTATTAGAAGAGTCACAAATAAATCTTTCTTGTTCACAATCACCATAACCCAGTCCAGACAAAAGGAGACTGCTGGGCACATCAGCTTGATTTCTGAGTAAAAGGAATATAAGTCTAATAAATTAATTCTCCAACTTACTTGATTTGGAGGTTCAACTATAGTTTTAGATCCACAATTAGGAGGAGTAAACTTCATTCGACTGCTCTCTGTAAAGGATACAGAATTTTGCAATCAATAATGAAGGGAACATAATTTTTAAAATTATTTTAACATTTTAAAATTATTTTAGTAATAAAGGGAACATAAATAACCTAGATGAAGGAATAAAAGGGGAACTCATCAAAACTGCACATGACACACAAGCTCAAAATTTGAGAGAAAACTTTTATAAGATGTTTTATAGATGGCATTTAGATCCTAAAAAACTGGGCTCTATGTATCCGAATTTATAACCTAAATGCTGGAGATGTGATTGTCTCGATGCTACATACTATCATATATGGTGGACTTGTAAAAGGTAAAAGCATTTTGGATAAAAATATGGTGGATTATGCAAAATGTTCTTTAAAACAGG